TTTGTGTGTGTGTGTGTGTGCTTGTGTGTGCTTGTGTGTGCTTGTGTGTGTGTGTGCGTGTGTGTGTGCGTGTGTGTGCGTGTGTGCGTGTGTGTGCGTGTGTGTGTGCGTGTGTGTGTGTGTGTTGTGAGATGGAAAGATGGAAAGATGACCGAGAGGACAACTACGTTCACAACTGCCTCACATCGCCATCCTCACCACCATCACGATCCTTATCATCATCATCACCGCCATCAGCTGTTTGGGCCGGAAGGCAAGGGCAAGTGCGACATTGACAAGTTCCAAAAGTTCTTTGAGGAGTGAGTGACACGTTCAATGTGCGCAATGCCGACGATGATGATGATGATGATGATGATGATGATGATGATGATGATGTCGATGTAGTTGTGGCTGTTGCACACACATACGATAATCGTTGCTCACACCACCGCCATCGCACGTTCCATCACTACCTCATGACGACGACGACAACCACCACCATGATCACTGTGCTCGTTGTCATCATCAGGGTGCAGCGGGATGTGCTGCACATCGACTTCATCCGGCACAAGTCCGACCCGTCGTCGCCAACCATGTCCGAGGTGCGGTGGTGGTGATGGTGACGATGGTGGTGATGATGGCGAGGATGATGATGATGATGATGATGATGATGATGATGATGATGATGATGATGATGATGATGATGACGTGCTTACCATCAACACCACCATCAATCCATCACCCTGCTCCGCCATCGTCTGTGACAGCTTGATCTTGCTCGGATGCTGCTCAAGTACACGCGGCTGAAGCAGCGCGACTACGCCCAGTACCTCAACCGCGTCAAGCAGGCCAACAACCCATCACAGGTGCCGTCGTGTATTCTTGCTTGTGTGTTTGCAGGGGATGTGGTTGGAAGGGTGTTGCTGGTGCGTTTATGGCTGTTGTTGGTTGCGGCTGTTGTTCGTGGAGTGACGCATGCACATGCAAGCATCGGTGAATGCACGCTTGAACATCCACATATGTGTTGTTGCACGCGCTTGCTGTTTTACCGCTCACTGTTCCTCCCCCCCCACCACCAATCCCGCCACCAATCCCGCCACCATCCCATCACCGGCATCAGATCACGTGGGAGGATGTGTGCGGGCTGTTCTCGTGTCTGCGGGCAATCGACGACTTGGCGATGGCGCTGAGCTTCTTCTCCGCATCAGGCACCGGCATCACCCAGGGTGGGTCGTGGTTGGTGATTGATGGGACTGATGATTGATGTGACTGATGATTGATGGGATGGGTGGTTGGTGGGATGAGTGGTTGTGTTGTTGTGGTGGCCTGAACTCTGTACGTGTTCATGTGTCCGTGTCTGTGCATGTGTATGTTTATGTGTGCGTTTGCGTTAACGTGCCCCTCACCCCTCACCACCCCATTTCCTCTCATCAGCCCTCACCGCCCTCACCGTCACGACTCCATCACATCACACCAATCCCATCACCACCACCACCATCCCCCCCCCTCTCTCCATCACGACACCACTGCATCAGATGAGTTCCGGCGTGCGTGCCGCGCCGCCTCTGGTGTTGAGCTCTCGGATCACGTCATCAACTTTGTCTTCCACATGTTCGACAAGGACGGTCAGTGGTGAATGGTGGTGAAGGTGGTGTTGGTGGTTGATGACGATGATATCTTTGTTGTATTGCCGCTTCCTCTGTCGTATCTCGTACAGCCGGTCCTGACTCGACTCGCCACCACTATCCACCACACATCACCACCACCACCATCACCACCATCACCACCACCACCATCAGCGGACGGCATGTTGGCGGAATCGGAATTCCTGACGGTCATGCGCGACGCACACGCGCGCGGTCTCAACAAGGTAGGATGCGATGGGATGTGGTGGTGTGCGATGGATAATGGTGGCAGTCGTGTGGAGTGATCGTTGTGGTGCTGTTGCCATGTTGTTGAAAGCGTGCAGGCCTTGATTGTTCACATGCACACACGCGCGCGCAATAGAAACACACAAACACATACGCAAACGCGTTTTAGAATGCACAAGTACTCAACGCACATCACTCACATCGACACACACAGGAGAAGGATCTGCCTCTTGGTCGCGGGTGGAATGCGCTCGTGAAGTGCATCAAGATCCAGATGACACGACAGGAGGAGTGATGCTCATACGATGGTGACGATGTGGTCACACGTGCAGACTTGTGTGTGTGTGTGTGTGTGTGTGTGTGTGTGTGTGTGTGTGTGTGTGTGTGTGTGTGTGTGTGTGTGTGTGCGTGTGCGTGTGTGTGATGCACAACCCGCCACCAGTCCACCTTCGACGTGTTTGCTTTTATCGTGGTCTGTCGTTCTGTGCCTGTTCCGCCCTTCCAACACCAAACTGGTTACGTCCCAATCTCGTCAAATGTGTGTGTGTGTGTGTGTGTGTGTGTGTGTGTGTGTGTGTGTGTGTGTGTGTGAGTGTGTGTTTGCATCTGTGGTTTTCGTGTGTTGGATGTGCCACGTGCTGTGAGTTTGGCTGCCATTCCTGTGTTGGAGTGACACGTGAGTACAAAATCCAGTTTTGTGTCATAGGTTGCCCAAGTAGCCTTTCTTTGAAACGATGAGCGAGTGACAAAGTGCATGCCACACATCATTGTACATACAGCGCCTTTCGCACGCACACATATACACACATACACATATACACACACAAGCACACACACACAACATACACACACAAACACACACTGACGCACACACACATTCACGCATACACATGCTGTCGCTACAAGATGTCGTCGGCTGGCATGCCGGGTGCGCCAATGACACACACGCTCTTATCGTACGCTTCGGCAAACGCAATGACAGACCCCACATCGTTCACCGCCAGTTGTGCAATGGGCGCATAAGCGAGTCGGTGTTTGCTTGACGGCGCCAAACGCATTTTGCTGCGACACGTGCCATCGTGGTCGCCAATGTCGAACACATCCACACTTCCTTCATCGCGTGCACGCAGGAACCGCTATGGAGAAGGGGGAAGGAAGGAAAAGAGAGAGGTGGGGGGGGGGGGAGAAGCAGAGCGTGACGGTACATGAGAGGTTTGACCATGTGCACATGTGTAGACACACATGCACACCACACACAAGGTACACAAGATACACACACAACTACACACACACAACTACACACACACACACACACACACACACACACACTCTCTCTCTCTCTCTCTCTCGCTCTCTCTCTCTCTCTCTTCATAACACTGACTGCACCTGCTGGCGCCAGAGCCAGGCGGGTCCGCTGTCGTGCGGTGAAGGCGACGATGAGCGGTGGCGGAATGCACGGACTGTTTTACCTGATGTCGACTCAAAGAGTAACGTTAAAGGGGCGGGGGCAGAGGGGGGTGAATGAGGAAGCGATAGTGAACAGAACAATGTTGGGGCATATCAGCCATCACGAGAGACACACAAGCGACACGCACACACATACACATACACACACACACACACACACACACACACACACACACATACACACACACACACACACACGTGTGTTAACGTTCACACACGGACCTGTGAATGGATTAACTTCGAAGACACTGCCTGCTGTGATGTAGATGCTTTTGTTGTGCGCGGTGAGGTGTGTACACGCCTTTGTCACATGGTTAAGCGCATACTCCGCCACCACGGGTGATGCTGACGACGACGATGATGGTAGTGGTGACGCTAGTGTGCAGTTACCAATGTCACCCACCGTCGACGCGCTCGGTGACGACGATGGTGACGATGATGATGATGATGATGATGGTAATGATGTCAGCTTTGGTCGCTTTCGTCTCATGCTGCCACCTCTAGAAAACACCTGCTGTGACGATGCAGATCCTGTGGTTGTTGCTACTCTTGCAACGGTTCCTGACCCTGTTGCTGTAAACGGTCGTCGTTGCCTTGTTGCTGGTGCACATCGCCTGATATCAAAGAGGAGGAGGGAGGTGGTGCCGCCGTGCTCGGTGACGGCAGCGACAATGTCATCATCGACGCTGCACGTGCGCTTCATGTGTCTGCCATCGGCATCGGCAATGGTGACAGCGGCGCTGCGGCATTGTGTGCGCAGGTCCCATATCCTCACGCCGTCCTCGTGTGCGGTGATGAGACGCGAGCGACCAGCCGGCTGGACGTCGTGGCAGACGCATGGGAGGTTGCGCATGCAGGACCAGGAACGAATAATGCACCGCGGCACCGTCACGTCGAACATCTTGATGCCCGTGGCACCCCACGCACAGCTCAAGGTGGCGCCGCCCTGGCCTTGCACACTGCACACGGCTCGAAGCTGGCAGCGCAGGCTCGCTGCCATGTGTTTGTCTGCGCTCAGCTTGAGTCTTGGCACCACGGCATCGGAAAGCTGGTGGGCATGCTCCAGCACATTCCACATGTACACATCCCCACACGAATACCCTGCAACCACCGTGAAGTCTAGGGAAGTGGTGTGTGTGTGTGTGTGTGTGTGTGTGTGTGTGTGTGTGTGTGTGTGTGTGTGTTGTGTGTGTTTGTGAGGGTGAGTGAGGGTGAGTGAGGGTGAGTGAGGGTGAGTGAGGGTGAGTGAGGGTGGGTGAGGGTGAGTGAGGGTGAGTGAGAGTATGCGATGCATGAGTTCAAGTGCGAGCGGTGATTGTGTCAAAATTGAACGTGTTTGCCACAAACACACACACACACATACACACACGCACACAAATACATACACACGCACGCACACAAATACATACACGCGCACACGCGCGCACGCACAAGCACACATGGCATCGAAGCTTTTGCTCGTTTTCACTGACCTTGCACGATGAGAGATTGCACCTTGAAGAAGCCTTGGGGGTTATCGCGCTCGTAGACAATCTTGCCGCCGTCCTCCAACAGTGATGTGAGCAAGGATGCATGGAACGCACGCCTGTGTGTCCGCGTCGGCTGTCTGATCCGTCTCTGCCACCACCACGACGCCAGCCGCTGCCGCTGCCGCTCGTGTGCCTCCTCTATGTCGCTCATCGCGGTTGTGGTTGTCCTGCCTCTGCTCATACCCAAGACTGAATTAAGTCTTTATACTTAGTTGGCAATTAGCCTTTTACCATCCACAGCAATCCACGACAGGCGACAGGCGGAGATGAGCAGCCACAAGGACAAGAGGAAGCAGGCGAAGATGGGAAAGAAGAATGGCAGCGGCGATGGTGGTGCAGTCATGGTGGAGGAACTGAGGAAGCACCGCCCCAAGCTGGTGGCCTTTGACTTGGACGCCTGCAGCTGGGAGACGGAAATGTACCTGGTATGTGTGTGTGTGTGTGGGGGGGGGGGTAATTGTGATGTGTTGCGATGTGTTGTGTTGTGTTGTGTTGTGTTGTGTTGTGGTGTGGTGTGTTGTGTTGTGTTGTGTTGTGGTGTGGTGTGTTGTGGTGTGGTGTGGTGTGTTTTGTTGTGTTGTGGTGTGTTGTGTGTGCGTGTATGGTCACATTATATACATATGCATGCACACACACACACACTCTCTCTCTCACTCTCACTTGCAAACACACACGCACTCACACACATACACACACACACACATACACTTGTTGGCTTCCTGTGTCTCAGTTGGACGGCCCGCCGTTCAGAGTGAACAAGCACGGCCATGTGCAGGACAGAAGCGGGTCTGTCGTGCGGCTGTTTGACGACACACACGATGTCCTGCACGAACTGTCCCACGCGGAGGAATGGCAGCAAACACAGGTGGCGTTCGTGTCTCGCACATCATATCCAGAGTACGCCTTTGAGTGCATGTCTCTCATCAAGATTGGCGACTCCGAAAAGTCCATGCACGAGGTATGCGTGATTGCGTGTGTGTGCGTGGGTGTGTGTGGGGGGGGGGTGTTTGTGTGCTTGTGTGTGCTTGTGTATGTGTGTGTGTGTGTGTGTGTGTATGCCTGTGTGTGCTTGTGTATGTGTGTGTGTGTGTGTGTGTGTGTGTGTGTGTGTGTGTGTGTGTGTGTGTGTGTGTGTGTGTGTGTGTGTGTGTGTGTGTGTGTGTGTGTTCGGTCTTATTCTACTGTCAAGGATGGCAATGGCACCGCCTTGTTCACTCACTCACGCACTCACCTACACTCACACTCACATACACACACTCACATACACTCACATACACTCACACGCTCACATACATTCACATGCACTCACATACACTCACATACACTTGCACCTGTGCTTGCAAGGTTGCGCACCACCATGAAATCTATCCCGGGTGCAAGGTGTCGCATTTCCAGAAGATCCACAAGCGCACGGGCATCCCATACGAGGACATGGTGTTCTTCGACAACGAGTACCGCAACATCCGCGATGTGCAGCGGCTGGGCGTTGTGTGCGTGTACACGCCCGATGGGTTCAGACGAAGGCACTTTGAGGAAGCTCTTGTGCAGATGAATGCTTCCAAGTAGCAAGCGGCACGCGTGGGCATTGTCTGCTTGGTGTTGTGTGTTGCTGGGATTTGCTTAGGCTCTTTGCTTGGTGTTCTGTTCTGTGTGTGTGTATGTGTGTGCGTGTGTGTGTCTGTGTGCGTGTGTGTATTATATGTGTGCGTGTGCGCGTGTCTGTGTGTCGGCACCTGTGCTTCTTCCCTTCATCTCTTGCGCTTCCAAAACGTAAACGCCATTTCATGGATTGACATGAAGACTTTCAAGGATCAACTCCTTATCAACAAACCACAGGATGCGGAACTGCACACCACAACCAAGCCCCAGATCGGCATCGCCACGACCGCCCTGGTCACCTTCCATGCACCAGCATGCCACCTTCAAACCATGCTTGATGTGACGCGCATTGCGCGCACCACCGACGACAGCCATGGCCCAGCGTGGTAACGACGCCATCCCCGTGCGTGCCGTGGTCAAGGAGCCACCACGCTTCCGCTTTCGCCGACTGGTGGGGCGATGTGTGTGTTTGTGTATCTGTGCGTGTGTATGTGTATGTGTGTGTGTATCTGTGTGCATGTGCGTGTATGTGCGAGAGAGAGAGAGTGTGTGTGCGAGTGTGTGTGTGTGCGAGTGTGTATGTGTGTGCATGTGTGTGTGTGTGTGTGTGTGAGTGTGTGTGTGTGTATGTGCGAGTGTGTATGTCTGTGTATGTGCATGTGTGTGTGAAGATACGTGGAGATGCATATTCATATGTGCACGTGCTGCCCCCATCGGTCCACTGCCGCTCACGAGTGCCGTCATCTGCGGTGCAGGTGCGAATGGTGTTGCTGGACCTGCGCTTCGAACAAGCACAGCTGCATCACAATGCACGCAGCATGCAGACAAAGACACGCTACCTCGCCACCTTCGATCTTACGCGTGAGTTGAGAATGTGTGTGTGTGCGTGTGTGTCTGTCTGTGCGTCTGTTTGTGTGTCTGTGTGTGTGTGTGTGTGTGTGTGTGGGTGTGTGTGTGCGTGTGTGTGTGCGTGTGTGTGTGCGTGTGTGTGTGTCGTGTGTGTGTGTGTGTGTGTCACACTCCACCAGCCCCGCCGCTATACGTCAACCCCTTTT